AAAAATCACCAAACCACATCACGAGGTAGGCACTAACTTGGAATCTTGAAGGGAAGGGGAGAAGAGAAAGGCTGATGAACACACTACGTCGGGAATTGGAAACAGACATGAAAAGGATGAATTGCAACTAGAAAAAAGTAGAAAGGAATGTCCAGGACAGTGTTGGATGAATAGTGCTGATTGGTGTCCTATGCTCCTCCACGAGGGGTGACAGGTTTAAGTATCTTCATTTTGTATATTTGCACTAGTTAAACTACGAATTCAGATTATGATTCTTCTCATTATGTTCATAGTTTATTCAAACCTAGAAACAGAGATCATTCAATTTCTGTCATTCACAGTAAAGACATTATTTGGCCGAGTGTTTTCATTTAAATTCAGTAGTACACTGAGGTTGCCAGTGAATACTTACTGTTTATCAGTTTACTAATTAATAGATTCCTGAAAAAGTTAATTATTTATTTTATCATCTGTCTTGATTATTTTCTCTATTCAACGTAGTACGTTTAATAAAAATTATACGAGACAACAAAGAATTATCTCATAAGGTTTGAGGTGTTTGATTTTTGTTACCATAAATCTACTACTTATTTGTATAATTATACTTCATACAATACTATTTTCACTGTTACCAACATCTTGGAAAGTTTTAGGAAACCAATTAGTTTCGTTTCACACAATTCAAATGTTTTCTTCACATCTTGTGGATATGATAGACAGTTTCCAATATCTGATTTCTATCACTATATTGTCAAACAGTGAAAATATAGAAAATTCTAAACTTTCAATATCATCAAATACGCGGGATTGTGGATGCGCACTGCTTAGCAGTCCCATACCAGGACGAAACGGCCGTCCAGTGCTTCCAGGTTTTTAATGGTGGTCTAGCTTCAACTGACTCATGATTTCAACCTGTGAAATTTCTTAGACTCTCCACAAAACCCATTCTGAAAATACGTTAATAGTTCAATTTTTTAATTGATCAAGTAAACTTTTGTTTACATGAAAATGATCGATTTTATTTTGAAAATTAATTAACATGCAGTTTTGCATAGCAATTAATTTACTCGAAACTAAGATAATTTAATTCGCTTCTATTTTCTCTAATCGTTTTATTATTTACATTTATTTGACATCGGATTTGTAACTATTAAATATTTCGTTAACTAGTGACAATTGGACAATTTGTTAACTAGAATCTGATAAAAACAAAAAAAAATTTTTAAGTCAGTAAAATGGATAGCAACAAATCTCTTCTTAATGTATAATGTCCTATATAGTCATAAATAATTAGAACTAAACAAACTGATCATAACATTGTTCTTGGTAAATAGATTGTTATACAACCATATTGATCTATTTGTATATATATATACTCATCAGTGGAAATTTTTTCTTATATGAATATATGAACATAAATATTGGTAATAAAATATTCAACCCTAATGAATGGAAATAGCTATCAGAAATAATAGACTAATTATTGTCAATACCATTCCATATATTCTCTTGTCTCTCTATTCAATAATCTACCATGTACTCATTCATCTATTTGATTGTATACATATCTATTCATAGACAAATTTACATGATTTGTAGGTAGTCTAAAGAAAAAATGTCATTAAGGATTGATGAAATACTTATAATTGGGCGGATTATATTAATGATAATAAGAATAACAATAAACAATCTAATCAGTTGAATGATGAACAAATGACAATAATTACAAAAGGTATATTGGTCATTAAATATAAAATTGAGGTTAATAATAATAAAATTGAATAATAAATTGATTTATTGAATGGTGTATGGTGGAAAGAATAAAATGGATCATTGTTTAATTTACCATCTAATTAAATGAGGGTTGATTTTTTTGGCCAGTAATTTATGCTTATCAACTATTAACCTGTTCATTTGTATCACAATAATAGTAGTAATAATTTAGCATTAAGTTCTTTTGTCATCATTGTATCATTTCAAAGAGAGAGTTCTTGACAAGCCTTTTTTTCTAATTTTATTGGATTAGTTGATAAAGTAGATTTTTCTCTTAAAACTAGGAGTAATCTACATTAAGACTTATAAATTCATCGAAGTAATATTGAACAAATTTCATGATCATTCTAAATACAAACGAATATCAACTAAATAATTAATGGGATTGTAGAGAAGATTTGTAGCTCTGGTGGATGATTTAGGTGTTTTTTTTTCTCTCAGCTGGATAGTTTAGTCGCGGAGCTTTCATTGTTCTTCTGACATAACATCTTCAGCACAAACTTCAGGTAGAAGAAGAAATTCGAACACTTCACTTCCATTTGAAGTTTGTGCTAATGATGTTGTTCAGAAGAGTGATGAAAGCTCCATGACCAAAATATCCAGCTCAGAGAACAAAGCTCCACCTAAATAACTAATGGCAACGAAAAAAATATCGGATAGCTATTTCATTCCAGTTTACATTCCTTTAATTGTACAGGTCAAACGAAAACAACTTAGACTAGTAATTTAGTTGTCTCAATTGTGTGTGTGTTCGTTGAGATAGCTGAAGGTTTGTGAATGATTTCTGTGAAAGAATACGCAGTGCTTAATATGTACGATGAAGACATACAGTAATTTCTGTTTTTCAACAGTTCACAAGTTGATGTTTATTTGATGTTAAGAATCATATGCTTAAGTCATTTTTATTTGAAAAGTCACAGTCTTTTCCTGCAGACAAACAATCAGATTTTGTGATAAGAAGCTAGAAATTTTGCATAAATTAGATATTTGTAAAATTGTACAGGATAGCGTCATAAAGTAATTCCAAAAGTTAACATTATCACTACAAAATGTGATGCATCTCATTTTCATTATTTTTGAAGATAAGTCATCAACCAATGTTATTTTTCACAATCTCATTTACGAAAGCTATAAAGTATCATCTTCAGTTATACTGACCTCGTGAAGCGTGCTTATCTAAAATTTATCCGGTAAGGTCATTTAAAAATGGGTTCTATCGCTTGAGACCTTATCATCTCTGATCATCTAGCTTTATTAGTTTTTATTAAAAATTATTAACATAGATAAACTGGTTCTAAAGGAAGTAACAACCCTATGGTAAATCATCATTTCACGCCTAGTCTATATGTTCAGTAACAGTATCCAAACTCTTGTTTCGTTATTATCCAAGCATCCTATAGTTAGTATGTTTTTGACATGTGTTCGCCTTCTCTTTGTTTGTTTTATAATCATAAAGTTGAAAATAATCTTTCATATATCTGTATATCATTCTTATTATATTTTGTCTACCTCGTAACTTTATTCGACACTTAAAATCGAAATTTAACTTTTGGTAACCCCATCAATAACCCAATACTTTTTTGTTTGATTACAGAATATTAGGTGTAAAATAACTAACTAAACGGTTGTACGACTTAATCGATAGATTTTTGCTGAACTGTATATCACTCATTAATGCAAAGTCTTCTGTCATTAATCACTTATTTAGTTTGACAGTTGAATTCATGAGTTGATCTGTGTTAAGTGTGAGACAGTTATCCACCTCAGACAATGGATGAGTGGGTGTGTAAGATCATGGACAGAATAAAATTAGACATTGACATTTTTGGATGCCGACTAAGTGGTCTGGAGTTAAAGCGTTCGAGCGCAAGACCTAAAGGTTCTGGGTTCAAGTTACACGTACGGGATCGTGGATGAGCACTGCTGAGAAGTCGCATACTATAACGTGTCAAAAATTCAGTGCTTCCACGTTTTCTGTGGTAGTCTAGCTTAGATTGTCTCGTGATAATAATGAATAGTTAGTACCCAGAAAATGATTTAACAATATCTTATCTTTTCAGTCATTCATTGATAAGTCAAAGCAAGTTTAAGATTATTTGCTCTATCCAATTTCATGTCACTAACGTTTGTTATCTGGTCAACTTTTTGACTGATCCAAAAAAAATTAGTCATTTTGTTTCTCAATTTCCATGGCTATTCACCTTTGAATAAAAATAATTGGATATAAAAATTACGGAAGTGAATTATTACTTTTTTTAAAAATCGATATTTGTTTGTATTTGATGAAAACAGTTTATTAATATAAACCATATTAATCATATCACTTATGAGTATTCACTATCATTACTTATTTCAATTGTTGATGACATCATATATAATACTTGACGACAGGTTAACAATATTACATAACGTATATAATGACGACAATTTATAGAGAAGTTAATATTTGAATACAGTCATTCAGTTGTTACGGACATCTGTAAATATAAGAACTATTACATTGGAATTTGTGGAATTTCTTGTAAATAAACGAACATTATGTTAACTTTGAATTGATGAGTCTTTTCATGTAAATGTATAATTGAAAATTATCAAATGCTAAGTCATATGATGATATGGTTGTTAGACAATAAAAACAACCCTGCTATTAGTATAGGAGTTGTGGAGATTATAAGGTTTTTGATTGAGATCTTGAACCAATTGATGTTAGACCATCACAATTGAAAACCTGGCAGCACTGGACGGCCGTTTCGTTCTATTGTGGGACTCCTCAGCAGTGCGCATCCACGAACCATCGCGCGAGACCGAAACCATGGGTTCGAATCTCGCTCGATGGTTCGTGGATGCGCACTGCTGAGGAGTCCCACAATAGAACGAAACGGCCGTCCAGTGCTGCCAGGTTTTCAATTGTGATGGTCTAACATCAATTGGTTCATGTTCTCAATCAAAAACCCTGCTATTATTGACGAAAAATTTCCAAAAAATCTTTTTAAAAAAAACATGGGAACTAAAAGTAAAATTTGTCATGTTGCCAAGATAACAACTTCAACTTCAAGTTTTCAGAGGTTGAATACTTCAATAATAGTTAATGAATTATTTGGTTCTTTTAAATATAAAACTTAATACTTTACTAATCGGATTTAGAAAAATGTAGATTAAAAACAGAACAATGACAAGATGTGTTTTTTAAAAAAAAAAGAATATTTATTATACCAATGTAAACTTACCAAGTTCTGCTGTACGAAATTTTACTAAATCACTTGGTAATGATAAACCAGCTACTCGACTAACTGCATGAACTTGAGCTGAATATAAAGTAAATGGACTAAGACCAGTGAGATTATAAACAATCATTGGATTTTCTTGAGAATACTTTGTATCTAATATATTAAATGAATTTTCTGATTTCATTTCAGATGGATCGATATTTGTTATTTGACGACGGCTAAGTTCACCTAAACCACCATCATCAATTTGTAAACTAACAGTGTATGAATCAACACCAGACGATATACTTGGTGGCCATCGTAATACAGCATAAGTACTACCAATAGGTCGTGCATCTAGACTTGATGGTGGAGCAGGGAGTTCTAAAAAAATGTAAACGCAATTGAGAAGACTAAATTTTAAGTAATGTTTGAATTGATAAGTATATACAAAACGAAAGTTTCATCTAACAGGCATGTGAACTGAAAATCTCTCTACGATCATCAGTTTCTTGGAGATTACAGGTATGTCTTGATGACGATGGTTACCAATTGTCATGAAGTATATAATAAACAAGATTTCCCACAATCTACCTTCAACCATGAATCATCTAAACTAAAAACCATTTGTTCAGTGTTTGTAACATTTTCCACATGAAAACTCATCCAAATATTTCTTACAATTAGCTGCGGGATAGTTACATTATCGTTAAGTATAAATGATTTTCAATAGTTGAGATCATGATTCAATTGAAGCTAGAACACAATAGAAAACGTCGAAGCACTAGATGGCCGTTTTGTTCTGTTGTGGGACTCCTCGGCAGTGCGCACCCACGATCCCGCCCGCAGGATTTCTAATTTTTTCTGCAGCTAAGTGGCACATATCATTTTCACTAGGATCTGATACAGTATGATAGGTCCTGGGTTCGAATCCCGCGGGGCGGGATCATGGGTGCACTCTGCTGAGGAGTCTCACACTAGAATAAACGGACATGTCAGTGCTTCCAGCTCTTCCATGGTAGTCTAGTCTTAATTGACTCATGATCTCAACTATTGAAATCACTGAAATCTCCACAAAACCCCTTCTGATAAATGATTTTATTGTATTATTATATCTGTTGATATATTTTTCTAGGCAAACAGAGTCAAGATTATACAAAATGAATCACTATATCACCTTAGACTATACATGCTAAATGCAGTATATTTGCAAAAGTAACTTTGTAAGCTGTTTAAATTCATATTTAAGATTGATTTCAATAATCTTCTTTAGATAGTAATTAATCATTCAGTCAGTAGTAAAGGATTAAATGGATTAAACTGTTCGAATGATTTCTTATCTGAACAAATTTAAAGCTGAATTCAATACTTCTTATTTCATGTTGATAGTCATGTTTCTTATATATTAGAATCAATGTCGTTAATATTTGTTATTCATATATACTTTACCATTATTGAGAAATATCTCACAGCTTTCGATTATGAAACCCTGACTCTTGTCGTCAAATAATATCATTACTTTGAATGAAAGTTACTATTCTTTTAAGATTCACATCAGAAATAATAATTTATGGTACAACCAGTTTTTTAAAACCGATGTGTTATAGTGATTGCACTAGCTTAGGTTTAAATTTTAAGCAAACACATTCACAGACACGGAAATTTTATGTCGGAGTATGTTGTTCCCTGTAGAGATTTCTTAGCTGAAAGTTCTAAAGAACCGACTCAGAGAATTTGATAAGGCAAAATATAGTCACTTTGCGATTAGTAATCACCAGTTCCATCAGAATTGGAAAATGCATGTTTAGCATATATATTAGTAAAATGATCGGAATGCAACAAAGAACAATGTGTGTTTGACAATTATATGAAGTTTATAACCCTCAGCGCTTAAGTAAAATAAGAATGTCCGGTTGTTTATATTTTCATAAATGACAGATAAATAGTGGATTGTAGTTTATCAAGAATTTCTGCATAGATCATTTGAATTAGATGAGGCAACTTAAATAGAATTTCAATGTTATGGATATGTTTAAAATATCTATTGATTTGACTGCAGAGTTTAGCTAAATTTTGTGATGGTTTTGTAACGGAACTTCTTCTCGACATTGAGAACGTTAGCTTTCATGCATTTGAATTTAGTATTTTCGTACTCTATGTAGACCGTGATGCTTTTTTGTTGCTGAGTCAAAACCCGATAGTCAATAATTTGATTTAGATAAATTTTAGACATTGCCCTATTCTTATCTAATATGACCGATGGATGATTGACAACATAAAATACATGATACAGGATTGATTGCTTATCAGATGTTTACTATCAATTCAATAGAAAGAGTTGTCTTAAGTAATATTTGCATAAATATTTAGGTTATTAAATGTCAACTTACGCTTTACAATGACACTAACATTTCTTCTTACTAGACCAAGACCATTTTTTGCAATACAATTATAACCGGATGATTCTGTGATGTCTGTTAAACGTAGTGTTGCTTCGTGTGGTTGTGGCTCTGTTAAAGCACGTTCAGATAGCATAATTGGTCCTGAAACTCTTGGTCCAGCTGGTGTACCTAATGTTGACCACCAAACCATAGGTATCGGAAAGCCTCCTGCTCGACAAGTCAAATTTGTACCTTTACCAGAGGATACTTCAACTTTATCAGGCATTTCATTAATTGTTGGTGGGAACTGAATACCTATAAACAGTCAATGAATATTTAAAAGAGCATTTTAACTCATAGTTTCTATATTATACTTTCTAATAAATCACATTGTGAACCATGTAAAAATTTAATAAGCATATCATTCAAGCAAAACAATCCAAGCTTGCTTACTGTTTTACTTAGGATATCATTAAAATTAATAAATACAAATGCGTGCAGACAATCATTCCAGATTTTGTGTTTGAATGTGTGCTCGATACTTTACATGCAATAAAAGTAAATTATAGCTACGAAGGATAGTGCAAAAAAATGATGTCAAATTAATCTTTCGAGCAGCTTATATACAAACCACTACTTTGAAACTGAGAATTAAAATGAAACTATAGTTTACAGTAATGGTATTCTCCAAGTGATTTACTTTGTTTATACAATTAATAATCAGTATGTACTATAATTAATAATCATGTTTGTACTGTTTACCAAATACACTAAGTCTATTAATTTCTAATTCCTTCTGCAGGTCAGTGGTACACATCATTTTCAATAGGATCTGATACAGTATGAAAGTGTAGGTATATTCAGCAGGAACACCACAGTATAACGTAGTTCTATTCATCGTTTATATGCTATGAAGAAGCCACCCATACTCAATACATCTTTCTATTCCTTTAAAGATTGCATAACACAAATTCATCTAGGATCGACTGTTAAATTAATGAAATCTGTGGAAATGAGAATGGGCTTGAATTTGTTTCGTTAACAACGAATGACTTCAAAAAAGTACGGATATAATACATGGTGTAAATGAAAACTAAGTCTAGAATGAATTTGGATTTTCAAAGTCATAGTCGATCCTAGCTCAAATTACCTGACTTCTGATAAGCCCAAGAACAATAGTAATGAATCATATCGCTATTTATAACTGTTGACAGTTGATTTGACTTTAAGTTAAACTTATATTTCAGAAACCGTTTTGTGGATATTATAGTAATTTTAATAGTTTAGATCACGAGTCAATTGAAGCTAGACCACCATGGAAAACCTAGAAGCAGTGGACAGCAGTCTTGTCCTATTGTGGGACTTCTCGTCAGTGTGCATCCACGATCCGGCCCCGCGGGATTCGAAACCAGGACCTATTAGTCTCGCAGGTGAGCGCCTAACCTCTATACCACTGAGCCGTCTAACTTCAACTAAACCACGAAATTGAGAGACACATCTAACAATGTGCTGGAGTTCTGTTGAGAAGCGGTGACCAGTGGAGTTCAACCGGGTCAGTTATAAGACATCAACTCACTGAAGATAATAGTGAAAGCGTCACTCAATTTCATGGATGAGTTGAATTTAGACATTAACACCGTTGGATACCGGCTCAGTAGTATAATGATTAAATGCTTGCGCGCGAGATTTCTGAGGAGTCCCACAATGGGATGAAACAGCCGTCCAGTGCTTCCAGGTTTTTCATGGTGGTCTAGCTTCAATTGGCTCATGATCTTAACTATTAAAACTTTACATTTTACCAAAATCTAAAATATGATTACAGAAAATGACTGAAAGTGGATCAGTTCACTAGGAAATCACTTTGATTTTTTAAAAATTAAATCTAATATACAGTTATCATTATGTTAGTAAATCATATTCTATTTAGTGAAATCTAATAAGTGTTTTAATGCGAATATATATGAGACCCATCCAGTTACTCTAGTAAACTTGCCTCTTTGTTGAAGAAAATGATATGCAATTGTAAGATTATCTGTACATAAAAAAAAGTGGAAATGAATTTTCATTTAAATTTATCTTTTTGTCTATAAAATGCAAACTTTGTAAACGATTTCATAACTTCATATTCATTGTGTATTGTATATAGTCTAATTCAACAATGTACAATTAAACATGGAAACAAACTAGGTTAGAAGGTGACGTGAATTTTTCAATGTTATAAATTATGTAGAAGGGATTAGTTTTTAGTGGCCTGGGATCTGACTCCAGTTATATCACATTTTTGATTGTTATTAAAATATAAATTTCGTCAATGGTCGTATATAATTATCGACTTAATCCGCGTTAGTTAATAACGGAAATGAATAAGTCAAATGCGATAATGGATGTTTGAATACGTATATTTTGTGTATTCGTTGATCGGAACAGACAGTCATAGAATCGTAACGAATGAAGCGAAGAATTGAGAATGAAGAGAAGCAAAAGGACGCACAGTGGATAAGGCATGTGAGCGTTAATCAATATTTATAGTCACATAAACTTAAGTTACAGGTATATAATGAATAAGATAAGAAGTGCATACACATACGCTCGTATAAAAATAGTCAGTGAATAATTGACAACGTCAAAACGTGACTCAAGAAGAATGGGTAAATTGGCCTGTCCAGAAACTGGAATAAGGTATATGTGCTTAACAAAGTAACCAACACTACAAGTTAGTTTTCTGGATAAAAGACATTTTGGGAAAATGGAGAAACAATGATTTCACTCTTGTTCATTGTACATTTTCAAAACATCATCTTCATCCTTTTGAAGAGTTCAAAGAAAAAAATCATGTTATCAAACTTTACCGTTTCATTGGCAAAAACTTGGTGTTTTACTCTTAAAGATCAAAACCCTTTTTTCTATAAATGTGATGTTATATAAAGTTTTATGAATTGAAGAACGAATTCTAGTGATATCGATATCGCCAAAAGTAGTATATATACATTTAGGCTAATATTGTTTCTTATTTCAAAACTTCTTAGCAGTGGACACTAATGAAAACACATTGATTCGATTGCAAGATTTCATAGTGACAAATTACATCTATTTTAAGTATCCTAACTTTATGTTGAATCAAAACTCTTAATTGATTTGGGCATCGAGTTGATGTAAGACATTAAAGATGAAGAATTTAGTTGTAAAATCTCAGCGAAATATGTAGATTTGTCATACATAAATAATACAAGTACAACAAGAGTGAATTATCACATGCATACAGGAAAGTCAATTACGTTAGACAAAAATAACATCTTAGCAACTAATTAAATTATAATTTCTTGTCAAAATTGTGCAATCGATGGTATTTCATCGTTATTATTTTGCGATGAATGGAATAGATATTACTAATGACACTAGATACTCATCTCACCAGCTCACAAATATACGGAAATATAAACCATCGTATTTGAATTCAATGGCATAATTATCACGATTTCACCATTAAATCTAATGCTCCGAAATTCAATTACTGGTAGAGCTGTAGGGCACAAATCGCTGATGAATCACAAAGTATCTTAAAAATAATTCTTTACTGCTCCGAAAAAACTCGGTAATCAACAACAAATATAATTTAAACCTTAAACTCATACCAACAACCATCTAAGTAAACACGTTTATTTTATTCTCAGAAACTTCAACTAGAAAAGTATGCTTAACATTGTAATAAAATTGAATTTCAATGATGAAGAATCGTTTCTTTTCGAAAATATTCAATTATCAATTTATGGTTTCAATATTGACTAAATAATATGGATAATGACAGTTAATTTAAAGAAAAAGAACAGTAAAATATCAAATTACAATCGACAGATGAAAAGTTTTTTCAAAAAAAGAAGTATTCATTTTTGTTTTTATGAATGGTAATCTGAGAAAGCCAGAAAGAAATATATTTAAATGCAATTCATAAATTTAATAGAATATATGTATTTAAGTTAACATAGAATCTAGGACTACCATTCCAAACTATTTGTGACTTGTTAGCTGACTATACTATATTCCAACGATTGTATTCATATTGGGACTCATACATAGTAATATTCACCTAAAACGTCAATGAGTTAACCACCGAACTACTGAATTCGGGTAAACATTAGTTTGTTTAACATGTATGATGTGTATATTAGTTAGGATTTTCATCATATCGTTTTTAATGTTTGGAACTGAATTTCAATCATTCTGTTTTAATATGTACATTGTGTACGAATCACTTCCGTATAACCAGTTTGTAACAAGCTTATTACTGTCAGTATGTAACATGAAGGTATTTGAAGAGGTGGCTAGTAGGTCCGAGTCCTGCTCAAATACAGATACATCTGGCTGATGAGACCAAAAAGTGGTGAAATTCAAGTACTAGAATCAACTACAAGCCGCGAACCATCCACTTTGAAATTTTTGTGATAAAATGGATATACTGAAGCGATCCGCAGAGCATGTACTCATGTCAGAGAAGATTAAGCAAAATTTAATACTGATTATCACAGCTGAAATAATTCAGACTTTTATAAACAATGATTCATCATCTATTTGTTTGAAGTTTACAATTTGAAGTAATGTCGAACATCATTTGAAAAGGAACTTGTGGAATGCTTTAAAATATTGATAAACAACTACATTATCAACCGCTACTCATTTGACTGCAGTCAATGTTCATTTGGGGTCTAATTAATGTCCCTTTTACATTTTGAAGTGGCAAAGGAATTTAACTAGGTCGCGTGTAAATTTTTTGAATCGGTTTATTTTTCCATTATCTTATTACTATGAAATCACATTCCAACGCCATGTAAATGTCATTTTCACTAAATGACATTAAGTATATTTCTATTGTGTACATATCTGAAGATAAAGAAGGTCAAAAGTGGCATGTCATATCCAGTAACTCACAAAATTTGTTTGAAAAGTTTATCTATATTCTAGACTATCAAACTTCGAATAAATGCTAAAAGTTAACATTACAGAATGCTTTTAACTAGAAAAACATTTGGAAATCTGAAAGCGTTTGACAAGTATTTTGTCTGAGTACGAGTCTCTTGAGTTGCGTGCATCGATGACCCAATCAGAGGTTGGATTCAGGCTCTTCTGATATTTCAGTGAACGTTTAACTTTTGGCCTGAGTCAGTTTGCGAGACTGTTGCATTGGTACTACTTGTCTGACTCTTGATATGGATGAACTCTAATGGTCACGAATTCTCGTTAGAGCTCTGAAAACTAGCTCTGAAAGTTAATCGGCAGCAAGTAAATGATAAGTGATTACTATGAGTGGTTGTGGATATTGATGTATATTGAAATTTCACGGCACAGACTAACTTTGAATTTATGACTTGATGTACTGTTGTTCAACTTTTTCACCTAGCTTTTTTTCACAAAGCATGTTTAAAAATCAAAACTCCACATTTTTATGTGAATGTGTAATCATAAAAAAGATGGTTAGAAATTGAACTTACGTCGTACATGCAAATGGCCTGAATTACTTAATACTGTACCTATTTCATTACGTGCCATACATTCATACGCTCCAGAATCAGTTTCAAGTAAGGTTTCTATTACAAGGGATCCAGATCCTGTAAAAAAACAGATGTATAAAAGTAACAATCTGGTTAAGATACTTTATTTCTTGAAAATATTTTTTCTCACGTAAGCATTAAATTAATAAGTATTATGATTTCATTTCATTTAATTCTATGGTGTATTGAACTACATTTATTTCACGTTTAAAACACATGGCAGATTTGAGAAATTAACAATTTTGGTATGTTTTCATAGCAGTCGTTACTTATGTTAAACACTTATAATAGTTTAAGACATACAATACTTTTGTGATACATTCGAATGGTAAGAGTAGCTGAGTAACGTGAATTAATAAGTATCAATAGGCTAAATGATCAAATACTTTCACATGTTACCACATATATTAACTGATTTGAAATATATATAGGAGTGTTTATATTCCGAAAATTGAAGCAAAAATACTGTTTTCATACCCTTTGCAATCGTAATATGTTTCATTATAAGCAGAGATAGATGGTGGCTAGCAGTGAAATCAAAGACGCTCGTCTCATCCTATTTGAAACTCATCACTCCGATTTGCCTGGATCCCAAAGTTAATATTCACTCCTGGAATCGAACCCAGTACCATTCTCTACAAAGGCCACTGCGGTATCAATTTAACTACTAAGTCCAAATAGTCACTAGTTTGTCTAATGAGATGAAGTTTAATTCATTTTTGTAATGAATGTTTGTGTTTCCCTATTGACGTTTTGGACTGCAATAAATCAATCATCTTTCGGCATATGTGCATATTGTTCAGGTTGCCTCGATATTGCCTCAAGTCACTTGTGTTATAAGCTCGGAGTGAACATCATCACTAGACTGATGGTACATCCACTTGACAAGTCCCAAATGCCGTTCTAAATTCCACTTCTAGGTGGCACACAGTTTTGCTTATAATGCATGTGACTCAAGACAATATCGAGGAAATCTGCACAAAACGAACACAAACCAGAAAGATACTGATCACTTACAGTTCGAAAGGTCAATGCGAAGATTCAAACAAACAATACAATAATGAATTATACTATGTTTCGATTTTTAGGTACTTCGTTTACACTGACAATGTATTCATTCATGAGTATGCTTTTGTAATAATTTAATTTAGCTACATTTGGATGAAAGAGAAGTATCAAGATTTTTATATTTTTGATTGTACACTCAATAACTTCTTTTATTCAGGGACTAGTAAAACGCCAATTAGGATCAACTTATCTATTTAGCATAGTTTGAATTTAATTTTTTAAAAGTTTCCGCTAAGTTCATTATATTCTTTGTATTATGAAATTTATCAATGAGAGTTGAGTTTAAAGTTCTAAATCTATTGCATTTACTGTTACTAAAATCACTCATAATTGAATCACTGGCCCCTCAATACTATTATCATGTTCCAGTGGTGAGTTATATGACTTTAAACGTGACATCTCATATGTGTAACTTGTAATTATTAGTTATTGAGACGTTTCGCTCTAAGATGAGTTTGTGACATATAGGTAAAGAGACAAATTTATTTTAGACTGAAAGGATGAAAAAGACACGTAAAACTATTCAAGTGTAATAACTAAGTGAATGTGTCAGTCGATTAGTGAATAAAAATTTATCGAATAATTTTAGTGAGATGTATGATAATATTTAACAGTTGAAGAAATATTGAAAACTTCTTGTTTAGAAGCATAGATAGGAAATATTTATACAATTCTTATCATTATGGTTTCGTTTTATTCAAATTTAAGTAAGTTCGTGATATATCTAGACTAATAGTTTCTGCCATCGTTGGTATGTAAATGAGTTTCATTGTGATTAACATCGTGAATATCATCATCTACAGTTAATACTGGAAATGATTCTTTTCATAAACCAGTCGTTAGTGTTATTATGATCAACTGGTTAAAAATGTAAACTAATCTATTTTTATTCAACATTCTCAATGGATAGTTTTTGGGACTTATCCTAAACACCTAGGTAGCAAGCGCACAGTTAGTTATTTACTCATAAGAGTCCAATGTCATCTATTTCTAATCCCCTAGCTATGATCGAATTCTATAGATCAAGCTGCAGTTCAAACACTAGTCTCAGTTACTTGGAAATGGTTGAATGTAGTAGACAGGTTATAAATCCCATTGGGAACAACAGTCCTTTTAAGATTATCAATTTCTCTTGCTTGCGATTGCCAACTAAGATGAAATCTAGGTCTAGCAAGGTTTCCTGTCAATCAATTTCAACCAACTAACACTAGTCACAAATTGAAATAAAACAGTGAAGAATCGTTTGCAATTTTTTTAACAATTTCTTTGTTTAGGATCAGTTGGTGATGAAATCTTACTTCGAAGTGAACATTATCCACAAACTTCATGAAAAACGTATTTGTTTTAATCTAAAGTACACTAACAAGAATTTTCTAAATTATTTTCTATATTTTATCTAATACGATATTTTTGGACGAAGTTGTTGATAATCAATTTGCAATTATCTTTATGGATAATCAAAATATTAATCATTAAATAGGAAACTATACAAGCTGCATTTATGAAAAATGTAATCTAAATGCCTCGAAAAAATAATGGATCGTCTAAAGACTTTCGTTTTGTAGAGTGCTGATGACATTCTCCAGAACAATAATGAAACGTTCGAATTCAAACATCAGTTTTCTAGAATGTAACATGAGAGGAAGCGTCTACTTTAAATCTAAATCTTTTTTATTCTAAGAGAAATCAAAAATGATTATAAACATAATTATTCAATACATTTTAAACAAGGTCTAAACTTACCAACAATTCGAAATCTTGGAAGACTTGTATCAATTAATTCAAATTGATCCTTTATCCAATAGACTGTTGCTTGAGGTTCAGCTGATACATCACATTGTAAATGTGTTGAATCACCAACTTGACTTATAGTTGCTGAAGGATCTTGATGAACTTTTGGAAATCCTCTTGGTGGAGCTAATTCATCAAAATAAATACATTATCAAGAGTTATTACGTACAAAAGAAATTAGATTACTTAAAACAATTATAAAGTCAGTATGAATAAATCTCTTTCATTCATCAGAAGTCAATCATAAATTAAGGAAAATAAATCAAGTTAAACTATAGAAAATGTCTTGTCTTTTTCAATGATAGTAATATTCAATTGATGTTATATACAACTCAAAAATAAAAAAAGGTTTTGGTAACAGGTAAACAAATATTATTGATTTCACAAAACCTAATCAATACTGTTACTGCTACTACTTATAATAATAATAATAATAGTAATACTAAAAGCGTTAAAATTTCATTTTCAATCCATATAGCATTTTTATTAGTCTACTGGTGTAATTGTTACTTTTAGTTTTTAGTATCTGATTATAACTGTACACAATATCTGTCGGCAAATCCCTAAAAACATATTTTTGGAATTATTTCACTCATGTAATTATGTTTAATTAGATCACTTATCGAATATAATGATTGATCAAGTAAGTAAAATACAATCCATGTTGAACTAATGAAATGCTTCCTTGACTTTTTTTTTCCGTTTCATGTTTTCTTTTTGTTTTTATTAGATTAATGGACGATAAAGTAATATGTTATTGGGTTTTTTAAACTTTGAATGAACGATTGTACAGAAATGAAAAAGATAACTGGTCTGAAAATGTAGATTAATATAACTTCTACAGCAGTTAACATTTTAGGAAAGTATAGGATGTTACTTACAAAAGTCCTTAGTAGTACATACATATATGTGATAAAAAAGATTGACAGAACTTTGAGAGGAATTTCAAGGTCATAGTAAATAGCTAAAAAACATAATATGATTCGTGAATGGAATCTATGAAATAAAACTTTCTTAGAGCATTTCACGATCAAGAATATATTTGTAAGAATTTTTATTTGAATAGACGATCAAAAATAATGTGTAGTTATATGTTGACTGTATTCTGTTTTAAAATTATTATGCATTTATATGTCCACAATAATTGATAATTTATTGTCCCGAGTATCAATAATAGGAAGGTACAGAGGTACAAAGGTACAAAGGTCAGTAAACAAATCGCATATTAGTGGTTGTAGTAACGTATCACTTTAATAAACGTCACATCTGCGTTCGAGACGGCAACTACTAGTTAGGAGTAACAACATGGACATCAACACTGAGGTGAAGCTATGTGCATCTGGAAAGGATCAGACAGAAAAAAATTCATGTAGTGAATTCCACCGCTTCTCACTACATAAATGTATAAACTGTCTAATGTATTGTATGAGATTGTATGTTTAATATCATAACTAATTTATTTGAATTTGCAATAGGAGATGGATGTTTGTTATTCACTTTCCTATGCTCAATAAACTTCACATGTATTTTTGGCGATTGTTAGTAAAGAAAACATCCATGTTTCACTACGTAAATGACTATGCTTATTGAGAGGGAGAGAGAAATGACAAGTCAAGGAAGTCAATTGTTTACCGAAAAAGACTTCAAGAAAAAATTGAGTCTGACAACTCAATAAAAGTAGATAACAAATGCTCATCTTTGTCCGTTGTTAAACATATGCTTATAATAGTTAGCAAAACTGATTCTCGCTCTGGCAATATGATTTTGTTTTAAAAGAGTTGTTCTTGGGATTTAATTTTGTTTACATTTTAGCCATAATGAACTTCGTCGATTTCTATGTTTTAAAGTAATTTGTTGTTTCCTTTTATTATTTTTCATTGTTAACCCTTAATTTATTTAGCTGTACCTTTCATTTGTGATAAGCAAATATTTTAACAAGTGATATAATTAAATTAATCGAAATGTACTGCGACTATATATTGCACAAGTCTGATAAACTTCATCTTCTCATTGGATTATCTATCTATCTATCCATCTATTTATCTATCACTCTATCTGTCCATGTTATTACCGAATATGAGAGAAGATATGGATGAAGAGTTGTTGTTTTGTCAGACGAAATGAGAAGTAAAATAAAACAATACGTTAATTAAGTTTGGTTGCTCAGTTTGACTATAAGAATTTAATAAAGGATAAAATGTGTATTAAAATGATTATCAAAGTTATATATTTTTGTTTAACTGGATAGACAATTTGTTGGCAAATTAGACGATACATTAAGTAAAGGGAATTTTTCTAGGCATTTAAGAAAACTTTTATGACGTGAATTACGTAATAAACTCTAAAACAGTGAACTTCATATAATTCTAGTTAAAATTCATTCATTACACCAATCATTTCGGTCATTGATTGAACTGGATCATTTTTCAGTGTAGTCATTGGATCTGGTCCATCTTATGCCCATCAGAGCTTATTGATATGAACTACTTTCACTGAGAAAAAAACACAATAAATATGTCTAATCATTTAAAATCAATCAACATGAAACTTAGATTTGTGTCTTTCTAGGTAGTTTTATGTATTACTATGAAGCATTCGTCTTAAATAATTCAGTTCATATATATGTAGATTTTTAGGTGTTTAAATTCATATGAATATTCGGTGAGACTATAAATTATGGACTACCCTTGAGCGACATCAAAGTGACCTTGAGTGCTTACCCACTTAATAGGGCTAAATGAAATCTACAAAGCAGTTTGAAGAATAAAGACAGTAATTTACAACTAAGATGCCAATATGCTATTTGGACGAATGGGTGAGTGAATTTCGCCTCAAAGCCCAAAACCTGTTATCCTAAATCTGATTGGTTCGTCCATAAATTATAGTCTCGCCGAATATTCTTATCATTTAAATGACCAGCTAAAACTAAAAGAAATCTTTAATACCAATAGGAGATTGTTGAAGTTATTGAATTTTTGTAGAATACATCATCAGTTGACCTTTGTTAGAAAACTATTGAAAATTAGATAGTAATTGGTAATTTAGTATGAAAATTCTAAGTAATGTATATCCACCACCAAGGACCTTCATAAATCCATTCGACCACTTTTCCTTCAAACTACTGAAACTCTATCTAGTAGTGTGTATTCTAGTTCAAATACCTCTCGATTCAATTGATAGTTACCTGTATTATATTAAACAATATGTTGCGATCCACTGACCATAACTTCTTATTCGAAAACAGAGAATAATCCATCAGAATTAGTCATCGGTTAATATATATATATTCTTATTATGATAGATTAGACTATAATATAAACGATTCAAATCTCCAATATTGTCATAAAAACTACACGAAATTTTAATGTTCATGATTTTCTCTCTTTCACTTTCTCTACTTCTCTTTGATAAGTTTCAGCTTTTTATTATTCTATTTTTTTTAATAAAAAAAATATGTTTTTATGTACACGATTTGTTTCCCAGAGCATAAATTGACCTTTTTCTTTCCAGTTCATTAACAAAGATAATAATAATAATAATAATAATAATAATAATGTAAAGTAAAAGAATAAAGATATGAATAATAACAGTTTATGATGATTCTTATTTTGGTATTGTTGCTATTGTTGTATTCTTTCTACTCTTTTCTTTTATATATATTTTTTTTCATTTCACTTATTTTAATATTGGAAAAGTTCAACTATTCCTTTTTATTCTACATTTATGTATCGTTTTTTTTTGTTGCTGTTTGTTTGGAATTAAACAATAACAGTAATAATAATAATAACAACAACTACAACAACAAAAATCCACATGAATAACTTCTAACTGTTTATTTCTTTGTTTATTTTTTTTGCTCTCTCTCCCTCCCTCCCTCTCCTTTTTTTTAGAATGAAAATATCTGTTGAGTAAAGGTTACTTCTGTTTTCTTATTGATTAGTTACATTTTTTTTGGCTATGTGTTATAGGGAATTGTGAAGTTTTCATCATGGACTGACCTCAGTTAGACAATTGTTGAAAATCAGAAAGCAATAGACTGATAGTTTATTCTAGTATAGTACTCAATAATTTTTTTTTACACCCTCAACCCAACTGGAGATCGAACTCACGACTTTTAAGTCGTAGTGTAAATTGTGAAAATACAATCGCATCCACAAATTACTTTTGCAACAGTTTACATTTATTCATTGATGATTGATGTGAATCAATTACTTATAGACGGTTTCGGAAAATGGTTGAGTGATATCACGAAATGAAAGAGGTTAGATATGAATAACAGCACCAACGAAGAGAAAGACGGAGATTATAGTATCGATCACTATTATGAGAGTGAACTTGCAGTGCTAAGAAATTCTATACTAAGACGAAAATGCTATTAGTAGTGCCAGGTTTTTAGTGGTTACCTAACTATGATCAGATAGTTATGTAAACTAACTGTTTTTCTCCTTCTTTCCTCTTTCTTTAGAAATAACTATTTTTACTAACTTTTCTCAATATTCAATCGACCATCTATGAATGTAACATACAGGGAATAAATTCCGACGTATTTATGATTTTGAGCCCAGGGACGGAGTCTGTTTGACATATAGTTATTTTTCAGACATGAAGACAAATATTTTTGATGAAATTAAAATCATAATTTGAAGTTGAAGTAATTTCAACCGTCATTCAGATATCTAATATTGAGCAGCCTAAAGACAGGACAAATTTTACGCACAGATGATGAAAGTTAAATTATGAAAATGTTGACAGAAATTCAGTAATGATAGACAATATCTGTAACAAAACAAATAGTATATTTTCATTCAACAGATAAACTGAAATATTAGGAAAGATTTATAAAAAGTTTATTTAGTTTAGTCATCAAACTATTCCGTGCATGGAGGACAGCTGACAGACGCAGTCTAAGTATGGACCGGAGTCAGACAAGGCTGAAAAAAGGTAGGATACATATTAAGGAAATCATCAAATTGCATCACGAGGCAAGCCCTAACCTGGAATCCTGAAAGTTAGCGGAAAAGAGGAAGGCCAAAGAACGCACTACTTTGGAAAATGGAAGAATATATGAAAAGGATGAATAACAATTGGAAAGGATTGTTCAGGTCAGAGTTGGATGGAGGGTGCTG